AAAAGCCGAAGAAAGTCCAGTTGCCTTTTGAAAAAACCCCTTTGGGACCATCTTGACCTGGATGATTGGGAATCTCCACAGACATCCTGGGTCAACATGCTCCACAGGAAACCCCCAATGGGCTCTGGATGTCTTCCTTGTGGAAGAATGCTATGGGAAGGAAAAAGGGACATTGGCCAGGGTGGGACTTTCCTAACCTCCTGGAAGAAGTCCCTCATCTGGTGCCAGTGGTGGGATTCAAATAGGTGAACAACCGGTTTTCTGCATGAATGCCGCTTCCGGAAGTCCATTCTGGGCCTGGGGAACAAAAAATTAGCTACCGGTTCTGCCGAAGTGGTGCGAACCGGCTGAATCCCACCACTGTCTGGTGCCCCTTTCCATTGCAGTTAACTTCTACAAAGTTGCTAAACATGGCTCTATTCAGAAGCTCTGGAGATAAACACCTGCGCCGTCTCTCCATCCGTTGCCCTTTCATCTCTCTTTAGGAGCCTCTCTTGGCGGTTGCAGGCTCTGAGGTTGGTGCAGCACCAACAGATGTGAAATTGTGTGGGTGTGTAAGTCAGGGGGAAAGAATTACAATGACCAGGGACACGAAGACGCCCCCCCCCAATCAGGCCCATTTCAGGGAAAGCAAATCAACCAAAGGGAGAAAAAAAAATCCTCCCTGATATCTGGAACTTTCCGTTCCTTGGGGCTCTTTCAACCTCCAAGCACAGGATTGCTGGGTGTGTGGGGGAGGGGGGAAGGAGGGGAAAGGGGGCAAGGAGATGCTTTGTAGATGGTGCCAAAATCCCAGGCGTGTAAGCCCAACAACCACACCTGACAGTTGGAAAGGACTAAGACTTTGATTTTCAAAAAAGTAAGTTCCAAAATGGGACAGCAATGCTCCATAGTGGACCCCCCTTTTATACAGTTTTGAAAAACACACATTTCCTCTAGCCATTGATAAAATAAGTCTCAAGTTTGATAATATTCCGTTTCTTCTTTTTCTTTCAGTCTCATAGTCAGTCTGTCCATCTCTGTGCATTCTAGTATTTTTTTGATTATTTCTTCATCTGATGGTATTCCTTCATTTTTCCAGTGTTGCACAAATATAATTCTTGCCGCCGTTCTGACATTGGAAGGGATTGGCAGATGCTTCTCCCCTCCTGCTGTGGGATCCTTGGTGTTCTCTGACTTGGTAGTTTTCTTGCAGATGTTTCAGTACCAAACTAGGTAACATAATCCGTGCTAGAAGAGAGATGAACTTGCTCTCATTTTTATATACTAGTGGTTTGCTCTGTCAGTGTTGGTGGGGGTGTTCTTGAAGGTTCCTGGATTGTTTACTGTTAGCTCGTCTGTATTGCTAATTGCTCCATTGGGAGGTTGTTTACTGAATTGTTGGTCTTGTGTTATTCTTGATGTTAATTTTTGCTCATATAGGTGTTGGTTGCTGCTTAAGAGATGTTTTGGTGTTCTTGTTTCCTTTTGGGTTTTTGGATTGTAGGTGTTGTTTATCTCTGTATGCCTGTCGATGGCCACTTTGTCCGAGTGGTAGGCCTCCAGGAATTCTCTGGCATTTTTTGGATTTGGCTTGGTCTAAGGATGCTCACAGTTTCCCAGTTGAAGGTGTGGTTGAGTCTATCCAAGTACTGTGAAATGAAGGGGTTTTCATTGTGTCTTCTGACTGCTACTTGGTGTTCATGGAAACGTTCTGCTGATGTGTTCCTGCCACTTCCTACGTAGTACTGATACAGCCCTTTCAGTGTATGTTGTAGATAACTCCGTTTTTTTCTTCTGGAGCTGCTGGGTCTTTTGGTTTTGGACGGCTTTTGATGGTTTAGAATTAGGGCTGGTCTTGGCCTGGAGATGTCTCTCCCATTCACTTTTATATTTTTAAGGCGACTTTACTTCTCGCCTGCGCAATAAAGACATAGTGATTTCTAGATCACTTTGTGTCCTTTGCAGTCCACAGGATGGCTTGTGCTTCAGGGAGAGAGAAAAAATGAAGGAAGTCAACACCTCCTTTTGCATGGGGGGGCGTGTTTCTTCCCTC